TCTCCATTGGGTAATCTGGCTTTCCCATGTCCATGCCGTTCACCAGCCTCATTGCGTCCACCTTCATATTCCTAGTGAAGTAACAATGACGACCATACTGTATGACATTTCTATGCTGCTGTTCAGATGCTCCAGTCATGAAAACCTTGCCTCATGTTATCAATATAAGAACTACCTTGTAGATAGGAGCAGAGTGATACTGATTTGAGCAGTCAGCGAATGAGCTTCATTACCAAATGGAGATTTGAATTTGCATCTCCTTGATCACAGTCCAATATTCGAGCTACTATGGGATCACCAGAGTCATTGCTTAGCTACACTTGATACATATACTAAACAATAACATTAATATGCTTAGGGAATTAAAATGTTTCAAAGCTGTATTTATATAAACATCGGAATACACGAAGTTGCTTTATCGTGAGTCAGACCACTGGTTCAGTACTACACTGTTATTAGACTATGATGTTCAGTACTACACTATTACTGCCCTGAAACAATATTGGTATTTTTAAAATCTTGCAAGATCATACTTGCTTTTGCTGCCCAAAACACTATTATTCTTCTGGAAATGTCCAAAGTTTCAAACAGAGATTGTTCCTATTGCTAGAAGCTGAACCCAAGACCTTCAAGCATGCAGTTAATGTGTTCTGCAAGTAGAATACAGCTCCTTCCCATTTAAAAGCAATGTGAGGTATACATATTGGCTTCCTTATTTGAATCTTAAAAAAATAAGGACAAATAGTCAACTTTCTGCTTTTATTTTAATTGCACTTTTTAAAGAATACATTTCGTAGAATCTTCTGTGCTTTACTATAATATTTTGGCAACTTGTTGCCACCCCAATTTTTGAATTTTAATTGTTTCTGCACTGGTTTATAATAAGCTTAATTCATGATTTATGATAATTAGCATTTGTCTTTTCCAAATGTTCCTATCGTTATAAAAAATATGCACAAATCTAGTAGCAAAAGAGTCACCGTGAAAAATATCAACTGAAAAAGATGTCCAGCCACGCGGGCTTTACTCAGAAAAGCAGCTCCCATGGGAGAGCCTCGCATTTACAACTTCTGACTCATTCCTACTCCTCTGCTCCGTGGTCATTTATAGCCAGCCCCTTCTCTTTGTCTCCCCCCCATCCCCATAGCCCCCACTGACCCCCAAATCATTCTCTGCCTCCTCTTCGATCTCTTCAGAGCCAAGATCCGACATGCTGCACCCAGCTGTATCACCATGGAGACGGCGTTCCCAGTGGACACCGCCCCTTCCCGGCGTCTAGGAGGCGGAACTTCTGGATTAAGGTCGCCGGGGCAACCGGGTCCTGGGCGGTGACGTTTTTCCCCTCCCTCCCTCCCTCCCTCTTCTGTGTCAGTTATGCTGTTGTCTGATAGACAGCAGGAAGAAGTTTGTCGGTGCAAATTACAGCTAAGCGTTGTCAATTCCTTTAGCGCGGTTTGTTCCTGCTCACGGGTGGGAGCATCCCATTGCAGTTCCTCTGTAATTCAGTCAGGAAGTGAGAAGTCTTCGATACCACGCCGCTAAGGGCAATAGCTATGTACAGTACAGCTGAGATTTTAATGCAACCCCTAAAGTTTTTACTCGGTCCTATTGGTCCCTGGGTAAACAGGTCTTAAATGTCTTGCTTTGTTCGTTTCTGCTTCGGAATCGTTTAAACAACTAAGTGCAGACCCACACGCTTACAAGCTTATTGTCCCATAATTGACTCTTCACCTGAATTCAGACTTTAAGAATTCCAATAAAAGCATTTCATGCATATTTTCTAATTGTAGTCCTTCTAACAGCAATTAAGGTAAGAATTATCATAGTGGCAGGTTCCTCTGTCATTCATTATATTAAGTCATAATGACGTGCTTGTCTTAATGTATTGTGTAAACCCCCAATTATGACTTGTAATTTATGGAATAGTAACTGAATCAGATGAATATGCTTAAACAAATTATAGCTTAGTACAATACAGGAATCTGAAAGCGCTAAGAGTGGTTTTACCTAAGGCACCAAAAAGTAGAGGCTAAAATCTGATTTCCCGTTCAGTTTCATATAGTCTTATGGTTTATGTCCCGCTGAGTTAAAATGATATATTCAAAGTGAATATGCATACTTTCATGATGCTGCAATTACCTTAATGTTGGGACTATTTTACACTGAATTCTATTTTTCCCCTCTTGTTCTGTATTGTTATCTGGAATTTTACGCTTCGTTATTACAATTTTAACATGGGTTATTTTTAACTTTAGGAAAACATTTTTAACTTTAGGAAAACATTTTTATTTCAAATGAAATAAAAGAACAATTTTCTAACCTAAACTTATAAATCTAGACAATGACTACAAAGAAGAAACTAGTAACCCAGAAAACAGAAGGAAAATTAGAAGAAACGGATCCAAAGATGGAGGACCTAAAGGAAGGAATTAACAGATACAGAGAAATGAAAAATTAGAAGATGCTTTCTATCTCATTATTAATACTTTACAATGTCTACTCTCTGCCCCTCAACTTCCTAAATTATTACATTATCTCCTTTGTGTGGGGGATGTGCTCATATGTTAGCCATCCCTTGTTTCCAAGAACAGAGAGCTAGTAGATTATGATTTTCCAGAAGACAAATTTGCATGTAGTATTTTTTGGTTTGTACCGAAAAATACTGCCTTCTGCAAATCATGCTAAGAAATTTTGCATCATCCCATGATGTACATTGACTGCCATATTTCCACCAAAGACTGTAGCATCAGCAAAGACCACATAATTTATCACAAATACAGTTATTCATATTTTCTCCCAAAAAATGTCAATACAATTTTACAGTTTTGTTGTAGGCTATTTAAGCCAATGACATACAAAGTGCATAATTATTTCTATCTGGGGAAACAAGTGGACACACCCTTTTCTTTGGGTGGATTTCAGTACTGATATATGTCCTCCTAATAAATATTTATTGTCTAGACTAATTTATTTTGGCCTTCCTTCACTTATTAACCTAATTTCTGTAGATTAGTTCCAGCATTTTCTCTCCATATTCACTGAGCAGAAATCTACTCAGAGTTCTGCTACTGAAAGGAATTGAAACCAGAGGTATCTTTTCTAAGAATCACTCAACTTCTGGAATAGAATTTATTGGGGGCAGGGAGACAGGGGAATGGGGCAAATGATAGAACTTCACAGAAATCTGCAAGATGCATTCTTCCAAATATATGTTTAGTTATATTTATTTTTATTTTCAGGATAAACTATAAGGTTAAGAGAGTAATCTCAAAGTACTGAAATAGTAATCCATGCATAGGAGCTAGTGTAGGGTAGTAGTCTAGTTAAAAGACATTTTTGAAAACCAGGCATCTGGTATGTGTGTTGAAAGAATATTTTTGATCTGTTTTGCCCCCTTCATGTTTTGAAGTTACTGAACTTATTAAGATGCACAGTTAAAAAAATCCAGTAAAACAGCGTAGAGTTATTCTTGTAGAGGAAGCACAATAAGCATATCTTTTGAAGCGTTTGTTATTTATCAAAATGAACATGTATTTCTTGTGGTTATGGTTTTCCTGTTTCGCAAAACAAAACAAGAATGCACAAACTGCGAAGGAGGAGGTACTATTTTATTTCCCTTTCTTACTTACCTCCAGGTCTAGGCAACCAGCTTGATTTCAGAGAAAAAAAATTGCTCCCTGTAGCAAAGGAGATATTTTAGTTAAACTAAATCATCAGAGTTCATCTGTATAGTGATTTCTGTGTAAACACAAATATAAATGAAATATCACACGCATGCACAATTGCAAATTAGTAGTAGGTTTGGAGTTTCCCAAATTTAGTAGAAATATAAATACCAATGCATTTAAAAAGCTATTTGGGAAGACCTATCCCCAAATCAAATCAGCAGAGATTAGGCATACAAAATTAACTGACTGGAGGTAGGGAAGAAAGAGGGGAAGGATATTAATTATATTAATAAAATATAATATCATGGAAAAAGACATGGTTGACTGCAGTCCTGGACAGAAGTACAATTTTACCACTTCTGATTCTCTAAGAGCCAATTCTTTCTTTTAATGGCTATAATGATGTTTTCAGGCCCACTCCAAGACATGCATAAAATTGTGCAAACCTACGTAAGTTTAGTATTAAATCCTTCTATATATCCAGATATTTAACTTCCAAGCAAATATGCGTGGGATGGTAACCTTTTAAAAACTAAAGCCAGAACTTCTGCCAGTGAATTGCTTAATTCTTTTGTGTGTGTGTGTGTTTCTGCCTTCGAGTCAGTATTGACTCCTGACTACTGCCTGGACCAGAGCCACCAGTTTTCCTTGGCAAGATTATTCAGAAATTGTTTGCCATTACGGCCTTCCCAGAGTTGAGAGTGTGACTGGCCCAAGATCACCCAGCTGACTTTGTGGGAGTGGAACTCTCCATCTCCCAGTTAACTCAAATTGCTATGAAACCTCACTCTAATCAATTGGACAGATATGCTTGCAGGAATTTAAATTAACTTTTATTTGTATTATATATACTCTTCTAGTTTATAATGCTTGTGTTTTCTGCTTATACATTCTGCTTATCAGATCCATCTGCGCCTCATTACAGGCTTTGTATCCCAGGTATTTTGTATGGAAAATGAAGCCCAATGAATTATAAGTCTCAATAAAATTGCACGTAGGTAGTCAGCAAAATTGATACTATAACAGTTTGTGTTCTGGAAGCACTATTTTTCAATTATTACTATGTTTGCAAACTAAAATTATCAGGGAAGACATTTTAGATAAAGTTGCTATTTTGGCAGTAGGAGCTCTGCTGTGAGCCATTTAAGCCTCTCCCCATCACAGTTTTTCCTTTAAAAGCAAATTGTTGGATTTTGATCTGCTATAAATACTTTTAAACCATTTTTTTTTAAAAGCAATTCTATTTTAGCTTGACTTCCCCAATATACGGATCTTCTACTCTGAACAGTCACTAAACGAATTGTAGTTACAACAGCACTGAAAAAAGTGACCTATGACCATTTTTTTCACACTTACGACCATTGCAGCATCCCCATGATCAAAATTCAGACGCTTGGCAACCGACTCATGACGGTTGCTGTGTCCCGGAGTCATGTGATCCCCTTTTGCGACCTGACAAGCAAAGACAAGGGGGAAATCAGATTCACTTAACAACCATGTTAACTAACAGCCGCGATTCACTTAACAACAATGGCAAGGAAGGTCACAAAACGGGGCAACATCCAGGTAACAAATGTCTCACTTAGCAAGAGAAGTGTTGGGCTCAGTTGTGGTGGCAAGTAGCTCTGCTTGCGAAACACGGAGCTCCAGGCTAACCTAGAATAATTAGTTCATTAAGAAAGGAAGGCGGGTTCGGCCCTCCCTCCAGGTCTGACATTTGCCACCTCGAGCTACGCCTTAGCGCTCCCTTTTCTTGCCCCAGAAGAAAGAGGAGACTGGGCTTGAACGAGCCGGACAGGTTCCTCGCTCGACTCTCCTCGTCCCGCGCCGCGCCTAAACCAGGAAGTCGCAGCCCAGGGCAGCTGTCGGAAACGGTCTCCTGAAGCGCCGGGAGCGCCTTTCTTTCCAAGACCAGCCGGCAGCCGCCGCCGTCTCCCCGCTTTCGGGTAAATTGCCGCACTCCGAGATCAGCCTGTGTGGAGGGAATGGGCGGGAGCTGGGGGGGGGGGG